TACTCTAGCATTCATATCATATCATAACATATCACATAATTCATAATGTAAGGGTATTTTGGGAAATCACCGTTCGGGCGCTGGCTGATCGTACACACTGCTTCGCTCTGCTCTTTCAAAAATCTTTTACTCTTGAGAAAAATTTTTGAATTTTATTTTGAAAATCTCTCAAATCCTCAGTTTGAGTTCAGATATGCCCGAAGGTGCACCCGAATCCCTCAAATTAAGGCTCTGATACCAAATTGTAACACCCAAATTTTTCAAAACAATTTTTACATTTTCCAAAACATACTTTCATTCAAAAATATTATAAAAATGTCATTGTATCATATAACATCCATAAAAACACAACCCAAGATCATAATACATAAAACTCCTCGTGTGTGTACTGATCACGCCGACGCCTTCCCGCGATCCTCACTAGTACCTGAAACACATAACACAACACTGTAAGCATAAATGCTTAATGAGTTCCCCAAAATACCACATATAACACATATTAGCCACTCAAGGCTATAACTCTGTGGACCCTCGGTCCTAACTATGTGGACCCTCTAGTCCTAACTCTGTGAGCCTTCCGGTTCTAACTCTGTAAACTCTGAAACATATATAGCATAAATCACATAAAAATAATGCAGTGTATCACATCCTATAAATAACATACAAAATACTCTGTCACATAACTCTAATTACCACTCTAGGTAAAGTATAGTGAGAAGACTCACCTCGGGTAACTCAATAATCTCGAAATCTGTAAAATCTGGTCTAGTTTCCGCCTAATCATATGATATAAACACTCTAAATCAATATATCTCTCAAGGCTAGACTATTCCCTCTCTTAGTACTCTCAGAAGGGTAAAATACCATTTTACCCCTCTCATGGCTCCAAGACCCTAAAGTTGACCAAACCCTAAAAGTCAACAAAAGACAACTTTCTGGGTTACGCTGCATGTACCAAACATGTACGTTGGGCGTACCCGATGTCTTCATAGAAAAGGGGTGTGCGACCCCTTATGCCGCACGTACTGGGATTACGCCCTGCGTAATTCCTAGTTTCAGACTCTAAGCTTTTGGGGTCTTAAACAGTTAAGAGCCACGTCCAACTTCTAGATCTGACCACTTCTAAGCCTCTTAATCCATAAAGTTTGTGACTTTAAGCCTTTGCATGGCTGGACAAGTCACTATCACCCATAATATTCCATTTCCCAACTCTAGAGAGCTCATAACTCAAGCATGACCTCATATCAACGACCAAGATAGAAACTTTATGGATCTATAACACCAATACTACTGAAATGGGACAGATCTAGGTCCATCGAGCACATTACATTCATAAAGTCTCCACCTTTGGGACTTTTAACCCTAGAAATGGACCATGCAACATCAAACCAAATAAGGAGGAAAGTTTTGAACTTTATACCTCTAAATGAAGCTCCTTTCTCTGAAGATCTCAGATCCAACCTTGCACTTCAAGCCCTGACCTCCTCAAGCTCTTCTCCTTCTTCTTCACTAACACACCAAAACACTTTTAGCTCTAAAATACACACACTGAACTATGGACGATGGTAGGCTCTCTCTTAGGGTTTCACTCTCTGATATGGAGGCTGAGAAATGAGCCTTAACATCCTTTAAATAGTGCAAAAGCCAAACATTTAGGGTTTGCATTTGGACCCATTGCGCCCAGCATAACCCTGGGTACGGCCAGCGTACCCAGGCGAGTCCGCATCCAAATTAAGCGCATGAGTACGCGCAGCGTACTCCCCAGTATGCCAAACATACTCATTTGCTACAAGAATTCTTTCAAGGGACCACTCTTAACAACTTGACAAAATGGAAGGGTTTAATAGCTTTACCTGGATTTCGAGATGTTACATTTTCACGTTTTAACAACAAATCATTACTTTTTTTTCCTCATTCATATTTATCATGTATTATTTTTAATCCTAACATTTAATTCAAAGCTTGAAAGCTCTACATAAAATAAGAAAAAAAATAATAGTTAACCTGATTAAGTATTGCTCCCATATGAGAGCTCTGCAACTTCATTTTTTTTTCTTTTGTAACCTACAGTAAGAACCATTGGCCATAATGATAACATAAGGAATTAATAATAATTAATATTACATAATACAAACATGAGTATAGTACTTCATTTAGCACACTTTATAATCTTATAACATCATTTTTTCCATTCAATGGGAAGATTTGCATAGGGGAGATGGAACCATCATCTTTTACAATTTGTCATTCTCAAGATTAGTACTTTGTATCTCGACCATCAAAGTTGCATTTGGCAAATAGTTGCAACATAATACCCAAAACGAATCACAATTCACAAGCCCTGTAATAAAGTCAAATAGAAAAAACCACCAAATTTTATCATCAAATAGACGCTAATTCAAATACCATAATGCTCCTGTATGAGAGAAAATTACCGAAAACAAATCACAATACGAATATCGGGTGATTGATCTCCTGCTAACTGAAATCCATATAAGAGAGGTAATTATGGGGTTGAAATTGAATGGCAATATAAGAAATAATGGAGTTTTTGGAAAGTAAAGACTACACACTGTGAAATTGGATTTCCAGAATGCTCCTGCTATGAGCACTCTTCGACTTCATCAAAAAAGATAGATCTGTAACCACGTATCTGTTGATGATTTTAGTGTGACCTTGTCATTTTATGTAATTGGAAATTACATGTGAGCTAAGGCTCTTCATAATTTGTACATTTATATATGTACGGGTTAGTGTGGAGTGCACACATGTATAAGATCGAATTAAAAGCCAAATCGACGACTAGTCGGGGGGTCCAAGGGTAGCGCCCTTGGGTTCGGGATTTCCAAAGGGGAGGCGTCCCTTTGGTGGGGTTTAGGGGAAGTGCCCCCAACTGGCTCCAAGGGGCAGCGCCCCAAAAACTCTTCGAAAAATACATATGGGAACATAGTGGGAAAAACAAATTCTTGAGGGTGATTATGGTAAAATTGACGAAATTCGTCAGTTTTGGAAACCCTAAATCCTCATTAAAGTTCGGATTTCCTGGCTTGCATCCAAAGAAATTAAACCATGATGGCCAACCCTAATAGAAACCCTAATCTCATTTATTATATAAACGACTCTTCTCTTTGAGAAGAGAGACGCGAAATTCTTAAGCTCTCGTTTTCATCAAACAAACACAGAATCCTTCTAGCAATTTGGCTTACGACTTCTGTACCTAGAATCATAAGTGTCATCTTGGATTATCGTAGGCTGAATTTCTTGCAGCACAGACATAGGGTAGAAATATCAGTTCGGAAAGTGTTCTCACGATCCAAATCGTATCCAAATCTCCACTACAAACCCTACTTTTTTCCAACAGGATCTGCACCAAAATAATCATTTTCTAATTGAAATGTGACAATAGAAACATGTTTGTGATATAAGTTCATGAGGTTTAAACATACCTCCATACACACAGAGAAAAAACTTGATGGTAAGGATGATAATGGTGGTAAAGGTGCATATTTAGAGTCTCAAAGATAAAGAAAGAGAGAAATATGGTAAATGGTGGCAAATGACATGTTACAACATTGTCATAGTGGATTAACTAGAGGACATCATGGAGCCTAATACACGACGAAAAAGGTATTCGATGCGGCGAAAAAAAATAGTTGAAGAACGTTAAGCGTCCCCTAGAAACATTATACATCCAAGGTCAAGATCGTGATTTTTGGTCAAAGTCCTGAGTACACTATGTGTCTATTCTGAACGCTATGCGTACTCAGCTGTGTTGACTCGGTTGACTTCTTAACTTTTTTACTTTGACTAGGATTTGACCAAGTTTGACCTAAGGGTATTTTGGGTATTTTGGGTATTTTGAGTTGTATTTAAGATTGGTCACTATTTGATGAATAGATAACGCGTAGAGCTGATATTCGGAGCCAATACCTATTTAGCTATTTGTTCAGAGTTCAGACTAAGAAGTGAGTTTTCCTTATTGTTCTTGTGGGTCGAAGGCACCAATGTCGATCCGTTAGTAATGTATTCTGGTATATAGGATGTTGTTATGCGGTAGTAATCTGTAGATATGTCTTTTAGTCTGTTAAGTGGTTATATGATTATATGTTGCTAGATATATGTTATTTGTTATGTATATGTCGATATTGTACGTGGGGTTGAGACTGTACTGCTTTGTACTGTCAGTCAATAGACCGGGACATTCCAACCAGGAGGTTATGGGCTGAAGGTAATCCAACCAGGAGGTTGTGGACCCCTTATGTATTGGGCAAGCCAATCGAAAGGTTGTGGGCCAAGGCATTCCAACCATAAGGTTGTGGCCTAGGGGTAATCTAACCAGGAAGTTGTGGACCCGATATCTGTTTGGTTATATGTTTGTGTGGTGATATTAATTTGGGGAACTCACTATGCTTTGACTTACAATTTCAATTTATTGTTTCAAGTACTTCAGATGACCGTGACAAGGCGAATGTGTGATCGTGCACATCTTTCAAATTTATGTTATTTGGATTTTGGGATACTCTGATTATTGATAAACACTTTTGAAACAATGGTTTTGTAAAAAATTATTATTTTGGGTTGTTTTGAAAAGTTCAAATTTACTATGATTTTTGGGATGTTACAAACTGTTTTTTGTATGATTATATGTGATTATTTGGAAATAATTTGTTTTGCTTCGATTCCGGTGGTTAACTGTGATTAATTGAAATTAATCACATATAATTATAAAAAATCGAAGAAAAACGAATTATTTTGAATTCCATACTACTGTAAAAAAAATAATTCAAATTAATCACAATTAACCTCCGCAGTTGAATAAAAACGAATTATTTCCAATTAATCATATATAATCATACAAAAAACACTTCAACTTTATTTTGAACACATAATCATATAAAAAATTGACGCATACCAACAAATGTTAGAGCTCTTCACTGGTAGAAGATATTTTTTTTGAAGTTGGAGTAGCTTGGAACACAGAAGTCCAAATATAGTACGAAATGTGTGTTTTGGACAAGGGACCACAATATCGGGTCAGATATGATCCGCTTAATAATATGGTCTGAAATGAATGCGTTATGGACTAAGTGGTTATTTAAAAAAAAAATTAAAAGCGGTTATTTTTTTTAAAAAAATCACAATACAAAAATGGTTAGATTACTCAATTTCTCTACAAGAAAACAAATATATCAAAAAATATTAAAAATATATTCGAACAAAGCATTAAAAAAATTATTTAAACAAAACATAAAAAAAAAACACTAATAAATGTATTTGAATAAAACGTCAAAAAATTTAAGAATTTTATTTGAACAAAAAATTACACAATATAAGTGAAAAAAACATTATATTCAAACAAAACATCAAAAAAAAAATTCATAAAAAACATAAATAAATAAAATATAAAGATAATAATTAATAGACAAAATTACATAAATGATCTATGAAGAAATCATAAAAGACTTAACTGAAAAAATTAGACACTTTATCAAAAGTATCATCTTTGCAACATTTTTAAAACATAAGGATCAAATATGCAAACAATTTGTTATAAGGACTCAAATTGGTTTATTTTTTCAAACACAAGGACCATTTATGTAATTTTGTCTTAGTTATGTGTTTATTAACTTTATAAACCGAGGGACAAAAATCTTTTTTGAAACATGACCAAAGCCTTAAAAATATAGATAAATTCAGGGACCAAAACTGTAATATACTCTTATTATCAGTACTTTCTCATACCCTTTCTAGAACGGTGAGAGAATAGTCAACGATGGAGGAAAGACTCCGACCTACTCAAATTAATCCAAGTTGAACTTGAAAGAGAAATTAAGGAAGGTATTCTGCTCAAATTGAAGTACTTGCAAAGTGAAGAGATTAGCAAGGACGTCTACTAAAAGGTTGGTGCTGCTGAGAATTTGAGGTACGTTCCCTAAACTGATAACTTGATTAATGATAAGTCATCAAGAAAGAAATGGAAGCGTTAAGCGGTTAATGAAGTTTAATATAATATATTAAGTAAATTTAATCAAACAGTTAAAAAAAAAAAGGTCGTTCCGGAATGTGTGAAACGAATTTTGACCTAATTTAGTCAACGTTGTGAAGTTTTTGAATTAGTGTAGTTAGATGATCAAATTAAGCTATTTGTGAATTTAATATGTTGTGTATATGTTATAAGGGAATGGAATTTGGAGGAAAACGAGCCTAATGGTGTGTATATGTATCGTCGATACAAGCAGAAAACATAACAGGAGGATTGGCCTGTGTTTTGTTAAGCAAATACAAGTACGACTTGGCACTATTTGAATTCGTGCTTTACTACGTTTAAGAACCAAATGCTAGGGGAATTCATTAAAGATATTAACTTTTCTAAATAGTATAAAAGTTATAGGTGTTCACGTAAAGCCAAAAGGTCATAAAGGTAAGCGGTTAATCATGGTGGGAAGATATATGTATCAATTCATTTAAATGAACAATATTGCTAGGTTGGATTTTGGGGTGAGAATGTACAATGTAGAAGCGTGGTGATTAAATGTTGAAACTACAAAACTTGATTATTAATATAAGGGAACTATAATTACTTTTTCATTATCTTCACTCTATTGAAAGGCTTAAGACTTGAGAAAGAAGAGTCAAGTGGTGCATGAAAGGCTTCCACATGCTCAAGTTGAAAGAAGATATTAAAGGAACAAATCCTATGAAATTGAAGTATAAGCTTGCAAAGTTAAGATTTAAGAAAGGGAGTCTACTGAAGTTTGGTGTTGCTGGGATTTTTCACCAAGTCTTTTCAGAAAAATCTGAATGTGGAATTATAAGCAAAATATTAAATGTATAATGTAATTGTGTTAAAACTAACTCATATCACCTAAATCAGTTCATGTCTATCATTTGAATTATAGCTTGTATCATACATTTAAAGGAGTTCGTATCACCAAAAAGTTAATGACTAGTTATGAGATTTTCTACATGGTGTCCAGTTACTCCAAATATGAGTTCTGACAAGGTTTTTTTTTACATGATAACAGGTTTTACTGGAAACTCACATCAGTCTGTATAAAGTTCATTTCATTGAGGTTCTCAAACCACATACTCGCAACATATGAACACATCAATGGCATCTTCATCATCATTTTCTCCTTCTGTTCTGGAATTTTCTTCTAAATCGTGGACGTATGATGTATTCCTTAGCTTTAGAGGAGAAGATACTCGCAAGACTTTTGTGGATCATCTCTACACAGCTCTTGAACAACAAGGGATCTACACCTACAAGGACGACGAAACACTTCCTCGGGGTGAGTTGATTGGTCCAACCCTTATGAAGGCTATAGAAGAATCACAGATTGCTGTCATCGTATTCTCTGAAAACTATGCAGATTCTTCATGGTGCTTAGATGAACTTGCACATATCATGAAATGCAAGGATACCGGAAACCAAATTGTTTTTCCCATATTTTATAATGTGGATCCATCCGATGTGCGAAAACAGAAGCGAAAATATGGAGAAACATTTTGCAAATATGAGTTGGAGAACAAGAGCAATGTTGAATCTTGGAGAAAAGCACTCGTGGATGCAAGTAACATTTCTGGATGGGAACCCAAACACATTGCCAATGGGTAATTTTCTTCTTTGTTTTTGTACAACACATGTATACTTCTATCTTAGAAGTTTTTATCTAAATGTTTTGATTATTCGACGATGTTGATGAACTGCATAAACATAGGCTCTACTAGACCAATTAATCATTTTGGTAAGTTAGAAGATATGTATCAAGTCCTAGGATTATGAATAACGTTAAATTAAGCTATGATGGACTTCATTGAGTTTTGATTCTAATTGCGTACTTGATGCATTGCTTCAAGCTACTACAACACATCCATCTTGCTTCACTTTTTGTTATATGAAACTATTTTTGATGTTTCCCGAGAAAATTGTTACAAACTACCTGTGAATTTAACTTTACAACTTCTATCTAAAATATGAAATTTAAATGTTGATTAGCTTGGATCCTGTTACCTCTTTTGTCAATGTGAGCGTGTGTTAATTATCCTTAAATATTCAACATGTAGGCATGAATCAAAGGTTATCAAAGAAATTGTTGACACAATTTCACAGAGGCTGCAGCTAGTAACTTCAAGTGCAAACGAGAACCTAATTGGAATAGCGGCCCGCATGCAAGGTTTGGAATCAGAGTTACAAATTGGGTCAGGTGGTGTGCGGATGATTGGAATATGGGGGGTTGGGGGTGGTGGTAAGACTACTCTTGTGTCTGCTATGTATGATGAATTCTCTAGCAAGTTTGATGGTTGCTGCTTTGTAAAAAATATCCGGGAGGAATCAAGGAAAAATGGTTTGGAAAAATTGCAAGAAAAAATCCTTTCTGGTGTTTTGAAACAAAAGAAAGTGAAGGGAATAGGGAGAGTTGAGGAAGGAAGACATATGATGCTGAATAAGTTATGCCGTAAAAAGGTCTTGATTGTCCTAGATGATGTTGATCACCTTGACCAACTGAAAGCGTTAGCTGGATCACATGATTGGTATGGTGAAGGAAGCCGAATAATAATCACAACCAGAGATGAGCATGTATTAAATGCAAACAGAATTGATGTTAAGCACAACATTATCCTGTTAAACAATGATGAAGCTATTAAGCTCTTTCGCAAGAATGCATGCCAGGATTACAGATGGACTAAAGATTACGAACAACTTTCCAAAGAGGTGGTCTCTTATGCTGGTGGGCTTCCATTAGCACTTACAGTAATCGGTTCTTTCTTGTGTGACAAAAACATTCATGAGTGGAGGAGCGCATTAGCCAGACTGAAAGAGATCCCAGATGATAATATTTTGGAAACCCTAAAAGTCAGCTTTGATGGACTTAAACCGCTTGAGCAAGACTTGTTTCTTGATATAGCATGTTTTTTTAGGTGGGACAAGAAAAATACCACAATGGAGATTCTTGATGCTTGTGGTTTTCATCCTGTTATAGGAATAAAGGTGTTGATACAAAAGGCTCTCATAACTATTTCAAAAGATGGAGCGTTTGATATGCATGATCTTGTGCAAGAAATGGGACACCACATTGTTAGAGGGGTACACCCCAAGAATCCTGAAAAACATAGTAGAGTTTGGAAAGTGGAAGATGTTCTAAAAATTTGTTCTATGGATGCAATGATGGTAATGCTTAAGCTGAACTTTGCATGATACATTATGTATGTATAAACAGACACTTTTGAATCAATCCTAACAACATTGTGGTTCCTCTATCATAGGAAATTGACAAGATTGAAGCAATAAAAATGGATTTCTGGATTCAACCAGCAAAAGAACAAGAACAAAATCTTCATTTGGTTGCTGCAAACATGAAGAATCTTCGATATATGGAATCGATAGGTGATCCTGCAAAATCATTGTTTAATGACCTTCCACTAAGGGAGCTTTGCTGTCTTCTATTGTCCTTTGGCAAGCAAAAACAACTTTGGGAGGGTTTTAAGGTAATTCATATTGTTTTATCACTTTATCTAATGAACAGATGAAAACAAAGTTGATGATGAATTACATACATGACCAATCTAGAGTAAATTTCAAGTATCTATAGTATTGAAAAGCATGTATATTTATCCTGTGGAATGTCCTTTGTCTTAGAAACTATAAAATTTTCAAAATATAATTTGTTCATTAACATATTAGTCATTATAGTCCATGGTATTTATGTAAAACCCATCCTCCATCTAAATATCCTTTTTGTCTTGACAAAGATGCAAATTTCCTTTTGTTTTTTTCGAACATAAATATGATTAAAAACCATTATAAAATATTGATATCACCGATTTGGGTTTAAAGATCTTTTATTATCTTGTTTCTCTTAAGTGATCTATAGATATATTATTAAACAATTGGAAAGTTGAGATGATTTCCATTTTCGGACGGAAGGAACTAGTTTTTTGTCTAACTATTATTTCATATATAAATAGTGTATAACTGTGTTTGTGTTTGTCTGTGTGCCTGCATGCCATTTTCCTCAAAATCTTGTCACCTTGATACATTTTTGACTTGTTGCACTTGTATTTAACAGTTACTCCCAAGTTTGAAGTTATTGAAACTTCACTTTATGGATAAACTAATCATCACTCCAGATTTTAATGGACTTCCAAATCTTGAAAGATTTATTCTTTATGGATGTATGTGCTTAGTAGAAATTCATCCATCGATTGGAAGCTTGGAAAAGCTTGTTTACTTATCTATAGAAGTTTGTCCCAGTCTTGAGATGTTTCCACCCATTACGGGAATAAAGAAACTCGAGACCCTTGAATTCCCAGGGCAGCCCAAACTCGTTAAGTTTCCAAAGATCCAACAACAGAAGATGGAGAATTTACCACATCTTGATTTGGATAATAGCAGGAGTGAAGTTGCATCCTACATAGAATCTTATTCAAACTATTTTGTTATTTGTTGGAGGTGTGGTTGCAGCAATCTTCCTGGTGTAAAATGTTGTGTAGAGGATCCTTGTTTACGTCGTAACATATGTTTAAGGTTTTTCCACAATTTACAAGAACTCCGATTCTTAAGGAAGTTGGATCTGAGCATGTGCCATTTGGGAGATGAAGACATTGGCTCTGATGTTTTAGAGTTTCCCAACTTGCAAGAACTCAATCTAGAAGGAAATTACTTTTCACAATTAAATTTTAGTCACTTGCGAGTTCCTCGACTGAAATGGCTCAACGTGACAAGCTGCGAAAAACTTGTAGAATTGTCAGAGATGCCATCAAGTATAGCTGTTGTTATAGCGGATGATTGTAGCTCGCTTGAAAGCTTTGGAGATATCTCAAACTGTAAATGGTTGTGGAAAGTCTCACTTCTGGGGGACAACAAACTTGGTGATGGTGACATATTACTAGACTCCATGCTCCAGGTTTTGCTCTATGTACCTTTTAAATTTCGATCATTGTCATATTAATTAACCCAAACATACAAATAAATGAATGTGTATTCCATGGCAGGGGAATGCTATTGAAGATCACTTTATCAGTGTCAGACTTCAATATCAGAATCCAAGGGCGTTTGTAGGTAGGTTCTTTAGGGGGAAAACATTTACAAAGCGTCTCCCACATGTTAAATGGGGCAGATATATGCCGCTTATGCTATATGTTGCCGACACGTTTAGATTGCGTCTTCCGGATGATTGGTGCAATGAGTTTTGTGGGTTCTTAATACGGATTATTACCCCGAACAGAGATATGTGGATTGATATAATTATTAAGCAGGATCCAGATCAGGAAGATTCTCGGTTTGAGATTTGGCAGGAGTCTAATGAAACACCAGAGCCTGAATATGATGGAGAAGTAAAGACATATGTGGGATATGTTTCCTTTAGTTCGTTGAGGCGAACCACATCATTGAACTCATCATACAATATTATTTCATTTTCCATACAGAGGCATTGGACTTCATTTTCTGCTGAGTTTGTTCCTAGAAAAAGTAAAGATGATCCAGTGCAAACAACAAAAGTTGCAACAGATTGCTCAGAGTTTTGGCATGAGGAAAATGATGAATATAAAGCATTTATGACCCAAGACAATTCTAAGTCTTCTGTATCAATATTATTTCGCGATAAAACATCTGAAACATCCATACACCCATAGATCTCTCGACTCTTTGCCATGCAGTTCGTATAGTCCGAGTGACTCTGAATTTATGATTCTGATTACACTGCAACATACATTGAAAAACAAATTGCAAAGGGATGAGAATGGATGTCCTGAAGATGATTGCATATAATTGTGAAAACTACTTCTAATTTGAACGTAGGTTCTGATGCCCTGGCTTAAACACATCGAGTATTGAGAGAGAATGCTTTGTATATGTATTATGTAACCCTTTAGCTAATTTGCTCGTAGGTTCTGATACCCTAGCTAAAATACACCTTTATATCATGACAAGGTGTGACTCACATCAAGGCTTACAATCACTTGTAAGTCACATCATAACACTACAAAAAAAAATGTCAATTAGTGACGACAGTGAAATGGTCACTAACAATAGAAAGAGTCGTCACTAAGTGATTTAGTGACCAAATATCTAGTCGTCACTTTTCGTCACTATAGGTCCGTCACAAAAGTGATTTAGTGACCAAATATATATGGTCACCGAATAGTGACTAAAATATAATGGTCACTAAATCGGTGACAACCGGTTTCGTCACTAAATCTTGTCACTAATCAGTGAAAGTCGTCACTAATTTATATAATTAGTGACCACAAAAAGTGGTCACTAAATAAATATTGTTAGAGACCAAAAAAAAAGTGGTCACTATTTAAGAAACTATGAGAAAAGACAATACACTATAACTGAGTTGCTATACATTTTTCATAGATTTAATTGGATAGAATTTTCATATCTAATGATAGAAGTAGGATGCTATAAATAACATACCATCGAAAGTATGTCATTATTTCTTACATATAGATATCGAATTTTTACAAAAAAATATTTTAAAATAAAAAGACATCAAAATAAAAATAAACATTTTCAAGTGTCTTCATGGCCATCAAATTATGGTGCTTTGAGAATCTTCATGAACAGATGGACCCGTTTTTTTTTACCTGAAAAAACAAGTTAAAGATAAGTGAAATAGTTGCTTCTGCATTGACTATTAGCTATTAATGTCGAAAAAATTGAAAAAATTTAGGTCTTAATGAGACAAGACATAACTCATAACAATTTACAAATTTTCCCTCATTTATCCATACATTGGTGGGAAAAACAAAAGAAACAAGGAGTTTGCAATTGTAAATTAGGTTTTTGTTCTTTAGTTATTATGTAGTTCGATTTTAGAAAACCATTTAAAACCCTTAAAGTGATAATCCTAAAGATTTTTTAATATAATTTAACTTAATGAAGATATTATGGTTGGAGAAAAAAACAAATTTACCTGATTTTGAGAATTCTGTGGGGTTTCATACTCTGCTGCTAAAAAGACAAAAATCTACAAACACAAGGCAATTGATTTGTTAGATGAAAATTATTGTTTCTTTTTGTGTGCTAAATGAACAATCTAAAAGACAGTAAATGACTATTTTACCCATCTATGTGGGATTATTGTTATATCAGGTGTGCTGAATGAATACCTTAAGTTAACCACTTTCAACATTTTTTTTCTATTTTAAGAAACCATCTGTTTTTGCAAGATAAAAAAATATTTTTTCTACCTTTCAAGGATGAATGCTACATTGTCAAACATATATTTGTAAAAAAATTTAATTTTTCCAACGATGACAGTCAATGAATAAAAGGTTCAAAAATAGCATATACCATTTGGCAAAGATTCCCCAGTGATAAACAATGCTTCCTCAAGAAAATAAACATACTTTGAGCACATTTGCTAAAAGAAATCACATTCTTCAATAGCTTTTGGGGAGTGCTCTATAAAAATTTTAACAGCCTATCAAGTAACAAATCATAGATGGTATAAGTCATAAGAACAAGATTCCTTACTAGAAATTTACTCTTTAAATTGCATAAAAAATACATACCTCATAAGCACACAAAAGACCTAACTCGTCAACACAATAAATGATCTTAGTGTAATCATTAAACAATCTCTTTCTAAGAATCTCTTGCTTTTCATCCGTATATTTGTAATTACTTTGCAGTGACACAACTCAAGCAGTTGCGCTTCAAACTGTAAAAAAAGAATCAGGGTAACAAAAGAAAATGAAACGATTGAATTCTCAAGGTTCAGTTTTTATTGTAAAAAACATCCGTATTTTTATAATGTTCACCTTGAATCTTGAGGATTCCAGTTTAGCTTTTAGTTCGAAATGAGAAACCTTAGATGGGGTGACATTCTCCAGCTGTGTCCTGTTCATTACTGTGTAAACCTTCACATTCACAAAATGAATTTTAATCAATAAATTTTGATATTCCAAATAACATTAAAATAAATCCTTAATATAAAAATGACATATTAGTATATTACTACCAGAGAATCCAAGACACTTTCAAGAGTTATGATCTGTGCTTCACAGTCTTCAGCAGAAGAGACACCTAGTGTAGAAATTTTAGTACAACAGAAGAGTTGTGAATGGTTAAATTATCAACTTCAAATGGATTTGGAACTCTAAACCAAAAGGTAATTACTGATTAAGTGTAAAATAAAGATCAACAATCTAAATAATCAAAGCAAGAATAAAACACCTTGAGAAAGCCACTGTTCCCTATGAATGTCAAGTTTGTTGGTCATAAGAACATGGATTCAATTGTCAAAATTATGAAAATAACAAGAACAAAATAAATAAAATTAGGTCAATTGATGTTGCTCATAATAACATAGATTCAATTGTCCATCTAACCTTCTTTCGAAATCTAATCCAGTAGCTGAAACCACCAGATCGAGAGAGAGAGAGAGAGAGAGAGAGAGAGAGAGATACTAAAGGATGTAGGGAAGGAGGAGGCGGCGTCAATCAGTGGTAGGACGAACCTTACCACTGGCAGCTATGTTGTCATTTTTGTGCTTTCACCGCAAGTAAGAAGTGGCGACGGCATCGACGTGAAGGAATTCCCTCGCCAGGACGAATTCTTCTCGGACTTTGTTGATGACATCGTCGATGACTCGGATATCGACAGAAGTAGTCATCGAACTTGCCATTTCTCATATCCTTGAAACTCTCGGCTGACAAAAAACCCTAAGCAGTAGAAATTGGATTTGGAGTTGATGAATTGGAGATTGGGGAAGGTTTAGGGCTTAGAGACGGTGGAGGAGAACGGTGGTGAAATGATGGAAGAGGTTTGTTTGCATACAATGTGGTCTAACGTTTTTTGTTACTCTATCACTCATAGTTTAGGGTAAATCACATTTTCACCATTGTGGTTTGATGACATGCATTTATTTAATCCAACTTATCTACTTCTAACATATGTTGGTTAGTGACCACTATTTTGTGGTCACTGATTGTTTTTTTAGTTTGTATTTCAATGACCATATTGTGTCATCACTACATGCCTGTTTAGTTGGGTTCAAATAACGAAAAAAGAATTAATGACTATTATTTTTTGTCACTAAGCCGCTAATGCAGTGACCACTTTTTTTGGTCATTAAAGCATCCGATAGAGCTTTTACTTTACGGTTAGTGACCGGCGAGTGACGACATATATAGAACCGGTCACTAAACTTATAGCATTACCAAAATTCAGTGACGACTTAATATATGGTCACTAAATGATGATGTTAGTGACCAGATTTTAGGTGGTCACTAAAAATGACTTTTCTTGTAGTGTAACTGCCTCCAACTACCACAATATTATAGTCCAACACAGTTGTTAGGAAAACACAAATAACATGTAGAGCAAGGAAAAAAGAAGATGCAAGATCAGGAGTTTTGTACTCAAGCATAGTAGTTTTAAAAAATAATTACCAAAGTCTTGTAGTTTCAAATTTACAAATATATTGCAAAAGACTGTAACCGCCTAACTGGACCCCATATCTTTCATAAATAAAATATGTTCATGTTGATAAGATGGGTTGGGAGGTTTTGGAACTCAAATTGAAGTAAAAAGTGTGTTGGATGCTGGGAAGATTGATGTTATGAATGTCATGCAAGGAAGAGAGTTATCTCAGAGATGGTGTTTTTGCGTTGTCTAATTCAATTCGTGAAGAATTCTCCATCACAAATACAAAAGATGTAGGTTTGATCGTGTTTAGAATTCCAGAAAATGTAGCAAATTAACATAGCAAGAAACCACCAGATAGGATTTTCAGACAGTACTAATGGGTCCGTTTCTTAATAGCAAGGGTTTTATTAGGTGAAAGTTCTCCAGCAATGCATAGGAGGGATGTGAGGGTTCATTGTGTGCCTGGTGGAACATTTGTAGTGGGGCAAACCTGCAAGGGTAGCAAGTGTTGTATCTGGTGTGTGGTGGGGCAAGGTTGTCTACGATGGTTATTTTTATCCACTTTTTGGTAATGAACTGTTCAAAATTGTCTCATTTTAGTCTCTTCAACAGGCTATAACCCTTAACATGCTCACATGACATTTTTAAGGGAAGATTTTAAATTGACCAATGAACTATATTATTTGTACATTTTTAATCACTCAACTTTTTGGATTATTAAAGATTTTAGGAAACAAACTATTCAAATTGGTTTCAAGCAATTTGTAAATAAATTTATGTCTTATCAAAAGTACTTTTTCTAATCAAAAAGTATATTTTCATATTCAAATTTCATACTCATATTTCCGGTTTTGGATTACTAATTGCAAACATGAAAAATAAGTTTCCTAAAATTTCAAGAAGCCAAAAACTTTGAGAAATATTTTATTTTTTATTAAAATTCAACATAATGTTAAAGGAACATAGCAAATGGAAAGTAAATACAATACAAGAGCATAAATGTTGGTGGTACTATATATTTCAAAAGGGAGGTGATTTTCTATCCGTCCACTGATTTTAATAGTAAATGGTCAATTATTCCCCCCATTTAAAGTTATATATATATATATATATATATATATATATATATATATATATATATATATATATATATATTAGGTGTAAGACCCATGTATTACATGGGTTTATTTTAAAAAAATTAAATATAAAATTTTAATAATTTCAAAAGTTTGAATTTATAAGAAAAATAAGA